AAATCAATCCAGCAGCTGCTAGACGATGCAAAGAAGAATAACATAAGACTGATTGGAGTCAATAAAGAAACAGGAGAGAGTGCAGATGACATAAAAAAAAAAAGTGTTCACAGAAGTAATGGCAGAAAACTTCCCAAGCAGGGGGAAAGAACTTGAAATTCAGATAAGAGAGACATATAGGACTCCAACTAGCCTTAATCCAAAAAAAATCTACACATAGGCATATAATTGTTAAGATTCCAGAAACCCTACAGAAGAACAAAGTTCTACAAACAGTTAGAGAAAAGAAACAAATCACATACAAAGGAAAGCTCACCCGAATCACAGCAGACTTCTCAACACAAACCCTCAAGGCAAGAAGAGCATGGAGTGATGTATTCCAAGCCCTAAAGGAAAACATCCTCCAACCCAGATTGATGTACCCTGCAAAACCATCTTTCAAAATTGATGGAGAGCCGGGAATTTAGCTCAGTGGTTCCGCTTCCTGCCTCGCAAGCACAAGGTCCCGAGTTCAATCCCTGGTACCAAAAAAAGAAAAAAAAAATTGATGGAGAAATAAGATACTTTCATGACAAAGAGCACCTTAGAAACTTCATGAATACCAAACCAGCCCTCCAAAAAATTTTAGACAATATCCTAGGAAAAGACAACAAGGATCACAACCCCAGGAAGCCCAGCAAAATGAATCCATCGGGCACAACAAGAAATTAAATGCAAAGGGGGGGAATCCAACAAAAAGAAAAGGTCATGACAATGATAAGTCAATACGCATCAGTTATAACCATCAATGTTAATAGTCTCAACTCACCAATCAAAAGACAGCCTGGCAGAATGGGTCAAGAAGCACAATTCAACAATATGCAGCATACAAGAAACACTTAATTCAAAAAGAAACCCATAAACTGAAAGTTAAAGGGTGGAAAACAATACTCCATGTGACAGGAACTCGAAAAAAAGCAGGAGTAGCCATCCTCTTTGCTGATCAAGTGGATTTCAAAAAAAAAAATTAATAGGAGGGCTGGGGATTTAGCTCAGTGGTTCCACAGGCTGCCTCACAAGCACAAGGTCCCAAGTTCAATCCCCGGTACCAAAAAATAAATAAATAAATAGGAAACAAAAAGTGTTAGCCACAAAGGAAAAAAAAACTGATCAACTGTACTCTGCACTAAAAGTTAAAAATAGGACCAGGGATTTAGTTCAGTGCCTCCACAACTGCCTGGCAAGCGCAAGGTCCTGAATTCAATTCCTGGTACTGAAAAAAAATAAAATAAAATACAAACTAATAGCATTGAAATTGATTAACATGCATCAAATGCATGTAACAACTCCCCAAAGTAAACCATCACTGTGTAATATTAATATGCACTAGTAAAACATATTTTAGAAATAAAAAATTGTAAAACCACTGATCATTAAAAAACATACTACAGGGCCAGAGATTTAGCTTGGTGGTGCTGCTGCTTGCCTCACAAGCACAAAGTCCTGAGTTTGATCCCTGGTACCAAAAAATTAAAATTAAAATTAAAAATAAAAAACATACTACAGGGAATGAAGACAACCCAAAGAGAGGTATACGACATTTACAGTACATATATCCAAAAAGGGACAAATACATAGAATATACAAAGAACTTCAAATCAATAAGAAAAAGCACAACCCACAATAAAATGGGCCAGAATCTTGACTGAGATTTTACAAAAGAGGATATCTAGGTGGCCTATAAACATTTGAAAAGTTATTCATCTTCATTAGTCATCAGAGAAATGCAAACTATACACAATGGAATCCTGCTACATGCCAACCAGAATGGCAATCAAAGAGTACAAACATAGCAAATGCTGATAAGGTTGTGGAGCAGCTGGAATGCTCAGACACAGCTGGTATTAGAGCAGACTGGTACAATTGCTCAGAAACTGTTTGGCAGGATCTACTAAACCTGTGCATATGCCAACCCTGCACTGTGAGAGAGCCACCTGCAAGAAGTTCATTCTTGGGTTCACCAAAAGTCATGTTCACCCAGCACTGTTTACTATAGTCCCAAAAGAAAAGAGTCCAAACTTCATGAATGGATCAAAGAATTTTTTTTTAAATGTGGTATATTCACAGTAGAATATTATATAAAGTTCAAATGCAGAAAAGAGTCATTTCTAGTGTTAAATGCAGGATATTATCTTATATAGCCAATACTTTAACACAAAGATGTGTGTCTTGTAATGCTATTCTCTTGAGCAAAATTTGGTCTCATAGAATATTTTTTTCATGTAGGGACTAATCATGAATTTAGAAAAATAAGCTATTTTGCTGACATGATGGTGCATTCCTGTAATTCCAGCATTCAGGAGGCTGAGGCAGGAGGATTGCCCCAAGGTTGAGGCCAGCCTGAGCTACATAGCAAGATCCTGTCTCAAAAAAAAAGCTATTTCAAAACAATATGTACAGCATTATTTAATTTGCTAAATGCAAATAATACTTATCTCTGGATTGTGGATGGTATTTATTTTCTTATTACATTATCATTGTTTCTTCTTTCTACAATGATCACATTACCTGTCATTGTAGAAAATACACGTTGTTTTTTCAAATAAAATTTGATTATGATAAGTTAGTATAAGATAATGAGGAGAGGGCTGGCATTTGAACGCATTCATGCACTATGTCCAAAACAAACTCAAGGTGAGGCTTGGTTACAATCCTGGCTTCTGATGAGTCCCCAGAAGTTAGGGATGAGTGAAGAAACAGCATGGTACAAAAGTGGGTGTGCCTGAAGACCATTACACAGAAGAAAAGTGGAAGCTATAGGGAAAGTCAAAACTTTCCTGATCTCAGCAGTGACACCTATCCTGACCCCCACCCAGGCCCTCTGCTCCACTCCTAATCTATGTGACAGTCTCTCCCACCTTGATTGACCCTTGTTTCGAGTTTCCCGTTCAACAGAGCTGCCTTTGTGGAAAGCAGCTTTTTTTTTTCCCTACCAGGGATCAAACTCAGGACCTTGTGCTTTGAGGACATGTGGCAGAACCACTGAGCTAAATCCCCAGTCCCTGAATACAGCTTTCTGTGGTACCTGATGCCATCTTTCTCCTGCTCTCCCTGTCTGTCGATGCCACTCAAACTCCCCATGCACAACTGCTCTGCATCCTCCTGCACATCAGGATGGTATCAGACGATGGGCTGCTTCTCTCTCCTTCATCAAATATGTTGTGCCATTTAATGAGCCTGGATTTTCTCATCTATGAATCAGAGTAAGATAACTAGAAAAATTCCCCTTTAGGTTTACTATGCAGGATGGAAAAAATATCTTACCACTCAGTGAAAGAAGTGAGCTGTGAATTCTTTCCATTTCTTATGTAGCTCTGGAGGAACATACTGTATGTCCTGCAAAATCTAAAAAAGGAAAGACTAGGCATTGCATTCTACTTCTGGTATGTCAAACTTGTAAAAAGAGCTATCTCTATAACTGCCCTATTAAGCAGCTTATATTTAATTTAGCATTTGTTTTATCTCATCTAATCTTCACAACCCTATAAAATAGGTTCTATTCATTCCACAAGTATATATTTCACTGTTACTATGTGTCAGGCACTGTGCTAAGTGCTAGCAATATGAGAGTCACATAAAACAATGTTCCTGCCTTGCTGCAGCTTTCTCGGCTGGTAGAGAGATACATATTATACAAAACAAATGTAAAATTGCAATTGTATCAATACTAAGTTGGAGAAGTATCCAGTGCAAAACAACAGTAACAGAGAGGTCAGGGAAGACTTCACCTTGGAAATGAAATTTCAAGCGAGCTCTAAGAAGTAGGAGGACAGGCATGATGGTGCACACCCGGCGTTCTGGGAAGCCGAGGCAGGATCGCAAGTTTAAGGGAGCCTGGGCAACTTAGTGACTTAATCAGACCTGTCTCAAAATAAAAAATTTTTAAAAGGAGCTGGGCCTATAGCTTGGTGAGAAGCACTTGTCTAGCTTACGGGAGCCAGAGGGTGAGGGTGAGGAGTCACCTAGCAGGTAACTAAAAAGGAGGAAGGACGTGTTAATTTTATCCCAGTACTGATACCTGATACTCAGTGCCAGAGTCTCTAATCAATTCATTCCCTTCTGCACAGGCCTAGCCCCAATCACAAAAGCTGAAAATCCATAGCTGACTTGCACAGATGGGGAAGCCCTAAAAAAGGAGGGGCGATGTGTGTGACTACCAAAGGAGACTTCCAGGAAACCAAAGCAACCTTGGAGACTGGGGATTAGCAGACAGATGCTAGGAGACCACCCTTCCACCCTCGGAACGGAAAGCAGACTTCACACAAACGCCTTCCTCTCTCCTCGTGCCTGAATCAGGAAAGGCAGCGGAAGGCGGCGAGAGACGGAAGTGGCTAAAAGCAACGAGCTCCAGCTCCTGCCTCACCACTGCGGCTGCGCGCGCACCGCCCCGGAAGCGGAAGTACAATCTAGGTTACGCCGGCTTCTAAGATGGCGGTTCTCGCGTCGCTGTTGTCCGGCTGCGGGCGGCTGTTCCGAGGGCTCCTGGCGCGCTCAGCCGCAGCCAGCTGGGCTCAGCTACCAGCTCGCGGGTTCAGGGAAGGTGAGTCCCGCGGCCCAGAGATATCCCATTTCCAAATCGAGAGCGGCAGCGAGTGCTACCGCTAGCCCTGGTGCTTCCCTCCCTTCGTTTTCACCCAGCGATTCTGAAACATCGGAAGTCCTGTGCCCCCACCCCCTGTCGCCTGGTCCAGACCTTTGGGGCTGTTGCTTGAACTCCTGTCCCTTGGTTATGTCCTCGGGAGGCAGAGGAGGACGAAAAAAAAGGCCTAGTTTATCACCGGGGATAGAGAAGCCCGTAGTTTCAGCCCTCAAGGGAGTTTTTACTAAGAGCTCAGGGGAGTTTCAGTAAGGAGGTGCATGTTCATTTTTTTCCGTGTTCTCTGAATCGCCACCTCCTTCATTAAAACATCCCTGGCCCATGAGGGAAGGATTCTGGATACCGCTCTCAGAGTGTCCCTTTGCAGTTTCTCTTTTGAAAATGATGTGATATGATGGAGGCTTTTTCTGCCCGGACCGCTAGTCCCCCTAAGAGGTGAAGGCCTAGGTGGAAAGGCTGTTGAACATCTGCGACAGAGGCAAATGCAGGATGATGGCTCTGCTCTTCGTTAATACTGTCTGGAAGAGTAGCCTGATTCTAGCATCAGCTAAGAGGTTACTGAAGGCCAAGTGCTGCGCTTCAAGCTGTGACAGAATTTTGAAGACAGAAAACAGCCCTTTTCCTGACAAGCTTGGGTTCTAAAGAGATAATATGTATACACTCCAGTAAATGTGAATTATACATTTCTGTGACAAAGTACAAGGAGATTCAGTCATGGAAGTACTTGGAAGTTTTCCTTGAGAGAATGTTTCTTGAACCAGCTTAGAAAAGGGTGGAATTTGGCAGAGAGTGAAAAGATCTTTTAGGAGCCCACGCCCTGCCTTTATGTACAGTTGGAAGCAGGAAGAGTGATATGCAAAAGAAATGATGTGGCTTTTTAAAGATTTTGGCATAGTACTGACCAGTGTATCTGCTAAAGCTGAGAGTTATCCAGTGGAAAAAAGTGTTTACTATTGTCAGAAGGGGCAGAAAAGTTCAAAAAGAAGACCCTGTGAAGGGACCGTGTGATTTCTCAGAAGAGGTCTCTTCTTAGCTTTCAAACAGCAACTTCAGTAGAGTGGCATACAAGAAAACTAGTATGGAGATATTGAAGAGATAATTGGAGAAACAGTAGTAGAAGTTATGCTTGAAGAATTCACCCATGAAGGGTAGATAGAAAACTTGGTAGGAGAAAAAAGTCCAGATCCAACTTAATGTTGGATTAATGCACTAATGTTAAAAAGACGAGATCATGCTTATGACAGAAAGGACTTGGATAAGATATTTCGTATATTCCTATGCTGGAAAATTAGCCCCAGCTCATAACATTTCTGAGAGTATCTACCAAGTATGAAACTGTAGCTATAAGTTTGCATATGTCTTGTATGAAATTCAAATTTGAAACAATTCTTTGCTATATTCTCATAAGAAAATCAAAAGAACAGGTTTTTTTTTTTTTTTTTTGGTTGGTTGGTTTTTGTTTTATTTGGCTGTGTAAGACAGGAATTTGAGGTTAGACAAGAAAAATATTTAGTTGGAGAGTTTGTGAAATCATAGACTGTATAATCATATGGAGGGGGTTGGTGGTTGTTTCTTTTTTGAGACAGGGTCTCACTATGTAGTTCAGAGTGTCCTTGAACTTACTATGTAGCCTGGGCTGGCCTCGAACTTGTAGGAATTCTCCTGCCTGAGCCCCCAAGTGGTGGGATTACAGGTGTGCATCACCACACCCAGCATCATATGAGTTTTTAAAGCCCACTTTTCCATAAATAAATTGGTAGCTCTTCTGCTTGTTGGTCCCTGTCACACTTAAATGTTAGATTGAATTGATGAGATCTTACATGAAGACACTGTTATAGTTTGTATTTTTGAGAATCTCCTGTCTTCAGAGTCTCTAGGGGGAAAAAAAGAACTTCCTTTTGATGTTTTATCATCTCTAAAGCAGTATTACACAAATAGCTAATTTTCTTTTTCTCTTTTTTTTTTTTTTTTTTTAACGAATAGCTAATTTTCATTGGTCCCATCTGGAATATTTGACATCTGAATAATAATATTATATACATAGAATTT